GAGCGCGCGTGGCAGCTGTCGCCGTCGCCAGGTCTGCGGATGAGGCCCCCAGTCTCGACTGCACCAGGTTCCCGCAGGCCGCGCGGGAGCAGGGCGGACTTGTTCCGGGGTTACCTGGGCTCCGCGCCGGGCCGGAGTACTTCAACCCCAGGCTATGGGCGTCTGGGGTCCTGCGGTAATATTCCGAATCGAACCAGACCTCGGGGCTGCCCCACATCCCAGGCGGGTGAGGAGAGGAATTGCTATCTCCCTGTTAAATCAGAGCTGGGAGAGGATAAACTTTCTTTTAGGGAAATAAAAATAACATTTCATGTGACCTGTGTTGTATGGTTCAAATCCATTTCATTTAACTAGGGATTTGTTGAGGATCACTGGTGCATAGCGCTGCGAGGGATTTATAGGCCCACGAGCAAGGGCAGGGTGCTGTCAGGAGCTGTCAGGATGACCTGATGCCTAGCGCTGCCTGCAGCTGGAATCAGGTCCTGCCTCAGGGGTGTGGAAGAGTCCTGGTGTCACTGCGTGACTTAACTACCGTGCTGCTGCTGCTGCCCCCGCCGCCCAGCGTGGTTCACGGATGAGGCTGCCCGCTGGGCAGAAGGGACATTCGGTGCCGTATAGCTGTGCCAGCTGGCAGTCCTGAGTCCCCTCCTGAGTCCCTAGTCACCTGACAGCGGTGGAGGGGGGTGGTTCTGCTGTATAAAACCTGGGCAGGAGCAAGCTTGGGACTGTCCCCTGGAGCTGAGGCCTAGGAGGGTGGGCACCGTGGGTCTGTCAGCTTTCCCATCCCTGAGACACAGTACCCAACACCCACAACTAAAAGGTGTGCTGGTTTATATCTAGAGGTCCAAGAGCCTTATGCATTTCCAGATGGGGCTTTTAGGTGACTGAATTATGGAGGCCCTGCAGGTGACTTGCTGTTAAGTAGGAGGTGGGGTCTGGTGAGAAGAGGTGGGTTACTGGGTCTAGGCCTGGAAGGATTTCTCTCTCTCCCCAGCTCCTTTTTCTCCCCCTGCTTCCTGTACCTAGGACATCAGCAGCTTGCCACTGCTCCTCTGTCATGCTATCTGTGTTGGAGTCACTGGATTGTGGACTAAAATCTCTGTTCTTTTAATTTGTGGATGTTGGGTATCATATCCCAGGGATGAAGAAGGTGACTAAGACAAGAGAGGTTCATTTGACTCCTGGTTTCAGAGGATTCAGTCCATGGTCGGCTGGCTTCAAGGCAGGAGTGTGCTTAGTTCATGGTGGCCCAGGCCCATCTATAGTGCTCAAGGTCACACCCCCATAACACCCAGACACATCTGGGGAAGTGCTCTCCTAATGTGCTAATCCAGTGGAGTTCACCTATCTGGATTAACAGCCACACTGTGTGGAGAATAATGGTCATCTACATCCCTGTAACCTCATTGTGACTTTATACCTCCCCTCAAGAGATGATGTCTGTGTCCAGCCACTGAACCTGATCTGACTTCCTGATTTTCTTTGGCCAACACCTGCAGTGGAAGTGGCTATCAGTTCAGAGTTTGGACCTCAGGTGACCTAGGAGGTCTCACTCGTTCTTGGAAACTTGTCCAGTCCCATGAGCATGACCAAGGCACCTGCTGGCATGAGACACCATGTGAAGGACAGCCAGTTGTCCCTGAGGCCATCCTGGGCCATCCCACAATCAGCTGGCACCAGCACATGGGGCCAGCCACGACCAGAACTGCACCAACACTCAGGAAAGGGGTTTTCATGTGGAGACCCCTGCTTCTGTACCCCTGAAAGGGAATCAGACTAGCTGAGTGTTCTTTCTGGGCCTCTTCCTACCTGATATCGGGCATGGAGCTTCTGCCTGAGTGCACACTGCCAGAAGCCCCTCACTGGCAGTTCAGAGACACTGAACAAGGGCTCTTCGAAAATTCACACATCCCACCCAAACAGGTTCTGCAGCTGGTGTGAGGCCCAGGCACCTGCATTTGGCTGATTCCCACGGGTGGGACTAAAGGAGCCCCAAGGTGCCAGGTTGCTCTTCAAACTGTCTAGAGCCTGAGGGAGCAACTTCAGGGTCAAGGGAGATTTAGAGAAGACTTGAAGGCAGCTGTTGGACTGGCATTTGTGGTAACTATTTTCCAACATTCCAGCTTCAGTATATTAAAATTATAAATAGAAAATCGTAACTTTTCCTTAGGCTGTGAAATGCAAAGTACTCATATCATTCATTCTATTTACAAATCTGTTCTTGTTTTTCTCAGTACTGGGAATTGAACTGAAGGACTTATGAATGCTAAGCAAGTGCTCTACCGCTGAGATAAATCCTCCCCCCATTATTGGTACTGGGAATCGAACTCCTTGCACTGCAAGGCAGGCGGTGGAACCACTGAGCTAAATTCCTGGCCCAATCCCCAACTCTTTTTAAAAATTATGTTTTGGGCCAGACATGGTGGCACATGCGTGGAACCCCAGCACTTGGGAGGCTAAGGCAGGATTGCCACCAGTTTAAGGCCAGCTTGAGCTACACAGTGATACCCTGTCTCAAAAAATACAAACTGTATTTTGGGATAAGAGCTTAGGGGTTCAGGCCTTAATATCTTCAGTGTTCCATGAAGCCCATTATTAACTATTATTATTAACTGGTCATTATTAACTATTATTTTGATTAGTTATGTATGGCCTCATTTATTCTTTCAACATGTTAAACTATTATACATGTAGAATCTAATTTTACTTTTTAGCCTTTCAGTTGTCTGCCTTATCAAGTACTTGAATATCCTCACAGATTTATTATGTGTCTATATTTCTCTTAAATGAGCTCTCTTTATTCTAATTATGGTAGGGAAATCTCAGAAGTCTAGCTTTGAATTTAAAATCACTACCTGAGGGCCAGGGATTTAGCTCAGCACAAGGACCCGAGTTCAATCCCTGGTACAAAAAAAAACAAAAAAAAACCACTACCTGAATCAAATGCTCAAACATATATTTGACCTTGGAATATGGTTTCATATCTACCATGCCAAATCCCTTACAGAAGAATATTAAAAAGTTTGTATGGCCAGGTGTGGTGGCCCTTGCCTGAAATCCCAGCCCTGGAGGAGGCTGAGGCGGGAGGATTGTAATTTCAAGCCCAGATGGGCAATTTAGTGATTTAGATTTAGTGAGACCCAGTCTCAAAAAACAATAAAAGGGCTGGGGATATAGTTTGGTGTGAGGCCCTTGGTTCAGTTCCTAGTACTGTAAAAATATACTCCGGTTTTGATTATTTGAGACAAGTTATATGTCTAGGGAAAGGGGTACACCACGTCTAGCTATGCCACACTGTAACTTCGGGGGTGTTCAGGAAGCCACTGCTCTGCAGATCTTGGTTATCCTAAACCCAGCATCGGTAAAGAAATAAAGAAGCAGTTTAAAATAAACGATGATCAGGTGGGGGATTTGGCTCAGTAGTTTCACCACCTGCCGCACAAGGGGACAGTTTGATCCCTGGTACCAATAAATAAATAAATAAATTTTTAAAAAGACGATTTAGAGATGAGGAAGGAGGAAAAGAGATGACAGCTACTCTGGACAAGTAAGTTGAATTTAAAAGTGAACTTGTGGATCTTGGCTGGACCTCCTTTTATTGAGATCTTTGGCCCACAGCGATTCCTAGAATCTGATTGGCTCCCTGGCTTGTCTTTCTTTCATCCTATACTTGGATTTTTTCTTGCCTTGACCTTTCTCCATCCTTGGTGGGGGCTTTAAGGACAGGTAGGTTTAAGTAAAGGGGAAGT